TTTGCTATGCCCCAGAGACAGCCTGCCCTGATTTGGGGTGAAAATGGACTTTTTAGGTCAACCAGCAACTTCTGTGTCCTGCCAAAGCAACAACAGAGGGACATGGCTGGGGAATGAGGAGTGGAGCAGCACAGCCCAGGGCAGGTCCCACTCTGGAGAAACTGCTTCTCTCTGACCCCAGGCAAAGTGGTTTTAACCAATTTTTGTGTTGATTATCCCTGGAAAGCCCAGAGGGGTCTTGGTGTGGCCAAAACCAGGACAAGCCACACCAGTCCATAAGGAGGGATGCTTTGGCCAAAAAAGATGCCCCAGAAGCTGGAGGGCAGTCTGGGTCTGCCTGTCTCACCCAGTTTGAGAGGAAAGGAGCAGCAGAGTGTACAAAGCTGCAGATGTTTGTGTGGCAGATGAAAGACTCTGCTCAGAACTAGGTCAGATCACGAGGGCCTGCAGAGCAGCAGCAGGAGCAGGCTCAGCCCGCCTGATCAGCACCCAGCATGGATCATAATGGGAATCTGGCACTTCCTGTGAGGAATTAGTGAGTAAGAGCTGCAGGAGCTAAGCAGGATGGGGACACCAATACAGGGAAGTCCAAGCACTTGGTTAATGCTTCAGCATTTGTGCTGGCTGAGAAGGCTCCCTGCTGTGGTGAGTGCTTATTGCATCACTCATGGGGGACACGCAGGGATGGGAGAAGAGGAAGGTCACAGAAGGCATTTTGCAGAACAGAGAGGACTGAGGACACGAGAGGGAAACCAGGCTCTCCTGTAGGGTGACAATGAGCCTTTCCCAGATTTCATCCTCAGATATGGGAGCATCCCTCTCTCTGCACAGCATTTGGCAAATCCCAGCACCACCCCATGACTCTGCAGCAGTGAGGATGCCTTTGGTCAGCATGGGGATGGCATGGGCTGGCAGCTGGAGACCCAGCAGAGCAGCACCCATCTCCCTTATCTTCCCTGATACTTTCCCTTCTCTGTCTTCTCCCAAGCTCTGTCCCCACTCACAGGCAAAACCAGAGGATAACTGGGCATGGAAAACAGTGGGCACTTCCCTTCCTGATGCCACCCCCATGACCTCCCATTCCTCTTTTTCTCCCAGACTGGCTGAAGGACAGAAAGGGCTGAAAGTGGAGAACAAAGCCTTCTTCTCCAGACTGACTTTCTTCAATGTCTCCGAGCAGGACTACGGCAACTACACCTGCGTAGCCTCCAACCAGCTAGGGAACACCAACGCCAGCATGATCCTCTACGGTGAGCAGGGCTCAGGGAATCAGCCAGGAAGGGGGAATGGCTTCACAGTGACACCACCAATGCGAGAGACATGGGAAGGGTCTCCAGTGTCTTTTTGGGGGAGATGTGTATGTGCTGTTGATCCTTTCTGCCCTTGGCATGTGGGCTGGAGGTTGTGGTGAGTCCGGGGAAAGGGGAGAGCCTCCAAAGCTGCCTCCTTGATTCAGGTCCAGTGTCTGAGATGTTCAGAGGTGCTTGGCACTGTGTTTGGAATCTGCCATAAAGGCCAAGTTAGGTGCTGGCTGCTGGTTTCCATCTTGTTGCTCTGCTGAGTACCTAGGAGAGTGTGAAGTCATCCCCCTGTGTGGCTGGGTGGGAGGAGAGATGCTGCTCAGGGTCACTGCTGCCCCATTCCCACGTGAGAACAAACAGGTTCCCTGCTCCATCACCTTCCAGGTCGCGTTTTCTGCTCCTGCCAAACAGATAGATCCTTACTGGGAGATGGGAAGGTGTGGAGGGCAGGCAGGAGGAGAAGGTGTGTACCCTTGTCCCAGGACTGTTTCCCCTGCATGCTGGAGCTGGGATGAGAGAATGGATCCCTCTGACACTGCTCATGGATGGGAAGGGCTTTCACACCTGTCAAGCCTTTTCAGGTGGCAGCAAAACCACAGCAGGGGCTGTGCTCTCCAAGAGCCAGAAATGGGTGACAGATCTCACCCCTGGGCACTGCTTGGGGTTATTTCCCTGCTGAGGTATGGGGTGTGTGGTTCTTGCAGCTGAACCATACAGGAAAAGTGGGAACTGGGTTCTCCAGCCTCTTCCCAACATTGCCCTCCTCCTTGCCACCCAGTTGTTGTGCCTGGCCATGTCCTTGTCTCTTGTTATTGTAAGGTCAGAGTGAGCAGAGCAGAGTGACAGGTGAGCCTTCCTCATTGCCAGGTCTCTCAGGAACGGCTCAGGGCAGTCTGTGCCCCAGCCATTAAAAGGGATGTGCAGATAGGGAGAGGTCCCACAGTATGTGCTGGGTTCTGGAGTGTGCTGGGGCAGTGGGAGGCACTGTTCTTGTCTCTGGGAGGGGCTGGATGGATTCCAAGGGAGCAGTTTGTTTAAGGACAGTAGGGGATAGCCAGGGGCTATACCACAGCCGTGGGGTCAGGGTGGCATCACAGGACAGGCTTATCCTCCCCTGCCACTGGTATTGGCAGCTGTGCCAGGTTCCCCTGAGCTGTGACACAGGAGTTCATCCCATCCTGGATGCTCAGACCCATTTGCTCCCCCAGTAAAGTCCAAGCCATATGTGATGAAGATTCACCTGTGCTAAGCCATCATTAGCGTTGCTTAGGAACTGTCTCAGTTCTCCTCCCCTCCAGCCTTCCTGGTAATCCAATAACCCCATGTTTTAAGGATACCAACACCCCTGGCACTGCAAAGCCACCCAGGCTTGGCTCCACCTGTGCTGCAGGGTGGCCATGCCAGGTGTCCAACACAGCCTGAGCCACATCCTTAGCTGTGATGTTGCAGCTTTCCAGTGTGCTTATGAGGTTAAAATCTTAATTAGTGGAGGCCTTCAGTTTAGCATCTGCAGATCCAGGCTCGATGAACAGCCTAAAAGTAAGAAGAGCTCCCTGCTGAAGAGCTCTTGGTTCCGTGGGTTCTAACCCATCTGTGGCACTTGTGCTGTTATGGCACTGTCAGGTGGGAGGCAGGGAAGCATCCCACTAAAGTCTAAGCTTATTTTAGGATCCCCCCCCCATAACTTTGTGGTCTGACTGTGAATCCCATCAGGGAGCGAAATCAGAGCCCTTTGACTACCCATAATTTCTATAAAGGCTGCATTGATTGAATGATCCGTTCAGTCTTTAATAATTGAGTCTCCAGGGGGTGACAGTTCCCTGAGGAGACTGTGACATGTGGGGGTCCCCCATCTCCTGGTGCAGAGCTCCCCAGCACCCCCAGGAACAATCTCTCCCTAATTATCAGCAATGTGATGGCCCCAGGCGTCATAGGGCCGAGCTCACCCGTCCCTAAGCAACCAGTGTCTTCAATCTGGGGATTAATGTGTCTTTATTTATCCACATATTTATTTATTTAATGCAAGATAAGAGGGAAGTGGATGCAGTGGCGGCACTACCTGTGCATGAGAAATGTCTCTTCTGTGAGATTTTGGGGGACAATTTTGTGAGTGGCCCCTTTTCCCTGAAGCTGAGTGTTTTGGAGTTTTCCCCGAAGCTGAGTGTTTTGGAGTTTTTCCCCCCCCAAATGGAGATTTAATCTGTGCAGGTAGCGTGACACGAGCCTTTTTGGGGTTGTGCGAGAGGCTAATGTAGCGTTCATCTTTTAATCCTTTTTTTAATCTAATTTTTCATGGAGGTCAACCAGTGCTTTATTTAACATGTAGCACTCGTTATTCCAGACCTGCCGCCTCATTCAGCGGCTCATTTGGTGCTGTCTGGGATGTGATAGAGTGCTCGGGAAAACCACATCATTCTGTGGAGTTGGGGGAAAATCAACCCTCTGCTTCTCAGCCATCACACAGTCCATGTTGCTCCCAGAGGCGGCTGTCAGGCCATAAATCTTTTTGGGATGTTGCAGGATTAGCAAGAGGGCCCCAAACTCATCGGGGAGAGGTGAACCCCCTGCATCCCCATATCCCAGCCCCTGTGCTTCTTTGCCTTTTGCACAGGGTGTAATTACAGGCCTTGCCAGGTCTGAGGTCCTGTATTCAGCTCATCTCAGAGATGAGGGGACCATGGCCCCACAGCAGTGGGGTGTGATTTGGGCAACAGATCCCATTTCTACCCCAGCCACTGGTTTTCCCACCCCAGGTCGAGGGCAGGCTGAGGGAGGTGTCTCGAGCCTGCGCTTTCCATTGCCCTTTTGCCTTAACTTTCACTTGTTCTTTAATTTTTAGAAGAGACAACTACTGCTCTGACACCCTGGAAAGGTCAGTAATTTGGGGGTCCCTGACAATGCCAGTGCTTCCCCTGCTGTTCCCCCTGGGCCCCTCTGGCTCCCACCACAACTCATCTCAGTGGGAGTCACAGCACCCACCACCCGGATCTCCTGTCCCACAACCCCACTGCTTTCACTGGTGTAGGGATGAATTAGGGCTTTCTTAGCTGCCCTCCCATCCTGTCCCCTCCCTGCCAGCCTACTGTGCCTGTCTGGTGGTGGTCTGTGCCCTCTGCATGCCTGTCCCCATCCCATGGTGTCCCACTCCCTCCCCACTGCCAGGGCCAAGCAGGGATGTCTTGGAGCTGCTTTCCCAGTGCTGCTGTGTAAGTGGGTCTTGTGGCAGGTCCTTCCTCCTCTGGGATGCTTCTAGTGCCTTTTTTATGGGATGAGATCGGGGTAGACAGGCATTTGGTCCCCTTCCTGGTGGTATTCCTGGCCAAGACAGCCAGCCCTCTGCTGTGCAGTCTTACTGTCCAGCCAACTGGCTTGGTGTCATCTTGATTTTGGGGTGGCTTCATCTGTGATGAATTGAGTGGTCAGTCCTTGGGATGTCTTGTAGATGTCTGTGGAGGTAGCGTGTGAAACCTGAATTTGGTGCCTGGATTTGTGAGGTGTCTGAGTGTGCTGGGGAGTGATACCAGTGGGAAACCAGATGTTCAGTGCCACGGTCAGGTTTTGATATGAGGGGACATGTCCTGGAGTTTCAAAAGGAATTGTGAATCAGACCTTGTGGCCAACCCTGCTTCCAAAGGCCACAAGAAAGGATGCCTTCCTGAGGTCTTTTTCCACTTTAGTCTCCTCCTGGGCCAACTATTTGGTGAAAAAATGTGTGTTTTGGTGAAAGCCATTGGCTAAGACACACTCCACATCCTTTCCCACAGTGAGCTTTGAACTCCTCATCCCCTGTGGTCCCCAAAGATGGGTGGGCTTGGCTCTTCTTGACCACCTTCCTCATCCCATCTCCTTGAGGAGGTCTGGGCCCATGCTGAGCCCCACAGAGACTCTGAAGAGGTGCAAACCACCAAGTGCTCATTGCAGTGCTGCTGGCAGTGTCTCTGCAGGGTGGGCAGGTGTTACTGTCCTGCCCAAGGGACATTAGTGGGTGACAGGGTGGTTGCCCTGGGGTGGGCAGAATGTGCTGGGCAAAACCTGTCACCTCCCCTACGAGTGTGGATGGAAAATTGGGTCCAATCTGGAGGAGGATGAAGGGGGCTGAGAGAGGTCGGATATGGGAGGTGGTGATGCACAGGGAGCAGGCTTGGGATGGGGACTTCAGGCTGAAAAGGGACTGCAGAGGATCTTGTCCCAAAAATCAGCATTTGTGGGGACAGAGAAGGCTGTTCCCACATTCTTGAGACAGCACGGACAGAAGGGGACACCGGGACATCTCTCAGAGCAACCCCACCACACGCAACACCCCCGGGGCCCCAAATAGCCTGATTATTATTTTTTTTTAAATTATTTTAATCTTTATTTCGTGGATTCTGCTATTTGTTGACTTGGTGACCAACCACGTGGGCTTTCCTGTCCCTTCCCGCAGGCCCTGGCGCAGTGCACGACGGCAACAACGGCGCGTGGCGGCGGAGCGGCTCCGCGTGGCTGCTGCTCCTCCCGCTTGCCCAGCTCGCCCGCCAGTTTTGACACCAGAGCCGGCCCGCGGAGCAGCGGCGGCGACGACCACGGCCAGCGAGAGCAAGCAGAAAGGAGAGGAAGTAAGGAAGAAGAAGAAGAAGAAGAAGAAGAAGAAGAAGTGTTCACCGTTTCCGAAAATAATCATAAGAATTGAGAGAGTATCCGGCCAGGCCACCTGGGGGAGGGGGAGAGAGGAAAAACACGCAAAAAAATAATAATTAAATAAAAATAAAAAACCACAACGGAATTTGGAATGGAGAGAAAAAGGAAAAATTAATAATCCAAGGCTTCCTGCTGAAGATGCAATGTGACTGAGTCTTTTTCTTTTCAACCTGTATTTTTTCTTTGTCCCCTGTCACTTTTTCCCCCCGTTTTCGCCGTTCTCTGCCACAGGCCAGCACGGAGGATGGACGGGGCCATCAGAGTGTGGCACTTGTCCCCTGCCCTGTCCTCTTCACTGCCCCCACCCGCCTGCTCCCTCCTGTGGGACCCTCCATCCAGACACACCGGTTTTCTCCTTTGCCAAGATTTCCCCATCTTCTCACGGACTGTGCTGCCATTTGTGTTTCAGAATATATATATATAT